GCGGGCAACAGCTAAAATACCTTTGCAAATTTGTATTAGGTGAAAGAAGTAAAGGCCAGTACAACTTGTTCCTTTAGTGAGCAAGCGGTGTTAAGAATTCATCCATAATTTCAGTGATTATAGAACCAAAGAAAATATTATGGCAAAAAACAGTCGTGAGCAAAAAATAGTTGTGACGAAAAATTTATCGTCTCTGGAAAGAAGCAATTTCAATTCCTATATTCCAAGCCACTGGCAATAAATTTTGCTGTGGTTTCCCAGAATCATATATCACACAGGGGAAGGAGAAACCCTGGAAGAGGGGGAGATATGATGAGGTGGCGGGAGGGAATGTAGAACGATAGGTGCGCCTCTTCTTCCTAGCCTGTACTATTTCATACCGGTGTAATTTATAATTTTTCCTTCGGAATACGAAGAATTTACTGCCCTAGTCTTCTTAGGCCCTTTGCCATTCTTGTCGTTACAATAGAATTGCTTCAGCGCAGGATTTTTTGCCTTTCACCCCACCTCCCGCCTTCTTCCGTCATTGGTGTTGATCCTGCGAAGTCATGGCGACAAAAAAAAACCCTTGTAATCAAAAATTTCTGGTTTCATGGAAATGAACAAGCTAACTTTAAAAATTCTCTACAGAAAATTTTCAAATTTTGGAGTTCAAAAATGAAAATAACGTGGATTTCCCTTCCGCAACAGTGATTCTGAAACCTACAACCACTCTGGTGTAGGTTGAGCTATAAAAAAATTTTCAAAGCTGGCCAGGTTCAAATGAAAGCAAACTTCAGCACTTGTGAGGGTTTTATGAACGATTAATTTAGAGAGTCAAAGAGGGAGGGGGGAAGTAGCACTAACGGCTCAGGGGTATAGTTGTGAATAACCTGAATGTACAAACAACTGAAGGCCTTCCGGACTTTTGAAAAATCTTTTACAATATAGGAATGTGAGGTGGCTAATTCATTATGAAGATCGAGCCTGCTGTTGGGCCGGGGTGACGAACGCTGTCACTTTGCAATCAACAGTGACTGCGCTTCAGCGCCAACTGACCCTTAGCCACCAGTCCACAATTCTGAAAAAATGATCCTACCAGACCGACTAGAAATCCTTACTAATAATTTAGTCGGATTTAATCGTTTTGCTGCGATTCCGCGTTGATCACACCACATTTTTCCGTAGCAGAAATAATAATGAAAACAATACGGCATTACTGTATCAAGAAATTGCAGGTGACAATGATAATAATAATAGTAATAATAATAGCAGTAATAATAGCAATAATAATAGTAATAATAATAGTCATAATAATAGTAATAATGATAGTAATGATAATAATAGTAATAATAACAGTAATAACAAAGTTATAATGGTAGTAGTAGTGATAGTAATAATAACAATAGTAATAATAACAATAGTAATAATAACAATAGTAATAATAACAATAGTA